AAAATCAGTTAGATGAGCTGGTTTGGATATTATGTCAGTCTAACCGTCGTGTCGTGCGTTTAGAACGCTCACGGAAGCACATGGACAGCTTGGTGCAAACTAATACGTAATCAGATTCAAGGGGAGTGCTGCAGTACGATCGACAGTTTTGTATGCAGCCCCACCACTTGTGGCTTATGGCGATATGGTCCATTTGCGTTCGTAACTGACTAGAGGAAGACGGACGCCAAGTGGTGTACAGCTTGTCGGAACTTCTGAAGTTCGTACTATCGAAGAATAGGCGGTGCTCGGAACATAGAATCAACAGCCGTTCCCCATTTTTCGACTGACAGGAATCTGGTTCGAACGGACCTCCCAGATGCACCTCACTCAAAGTCAGCTGGCCTACTCTAACGTTCATATCTCCTGCTGAACTCAAGACATCGGCTCGATTCGCTTTGCGNGTGTGGATTATGGTAAAATTCATCTTTGACTGTACCTGGGCTGCAGTCTGCTGATGCGTACGCCGATATAACAAACAAGTTTCGTCTATCGGGGCGACGGCTGCTTACTTTGGACAAACCTCTCGAGTCTCAATCCGCACAACTTACTGTCCACTGGGATCCAATCTAGGTGCGCGACTTCAGCTGCCACTGACAGCCACGCCAGCGCCAGCAAGACCGGAAACTGCGGCCTCAGGATCCTCAGAGAGGCGTAAGTGGAACTTCGCGGGTGGGTTTGATGGGGACGTCAATCGGATAATGAAGCTGGAGTCTTGAATGCGAATTTCTTGGTTGGCTAGGGTCTCGGGTTTACGAGCTAAACACGCCTGTTATCCTGTACGCAGAGTGCGCTCATTAAATGGGGCTAGTTTGAATGGGCATTGGGGGCGAAGAAGGGCTTCAGCTGGTGGAGGATTAGGTGAGATTTGGACGGTAGTCGAGGCAAGAGTTTCAATCTGAGGCACTTCTCTTAGTACCTGATTCACAATTATCCGCGAGGACGGCTGTTGCCTTATCCGCGATCTGGAGACGCGCCCAGTAGCATAAAGCTCTGCTTTCTCTAACTAAAAAGCTCGGTCATGTGAGTCATATTAAACTCCCTGATTAGAGACCTCGGGATTATTGTAATCAATGATTAGAGACACAGTGATACGGCTGTGTCGTAAACAGTGAGACTCGTGCATTATCTCAGTTTCTTTGCAACCATTAGCCTATCGGAATTCTCCGTTTTCTCTTCGACTCTACTTCCTTCCTTATCCTCTACTGTCCATCGAATTGGGCAGTCACAAGACAGCAACCAGAACCGGCGCAAGAAAGTGCATGTTTAATAATTTTACCAACTGAAACTGAAATACGACGCTCGTGGAAATAACGGTCAGTCATGTCAGCAATCTTTCACACTATCCACTCTAGATAGTTTGTACTGTAGAACTTTTTTTTACTTCCAGGGGTTCCGCAAAGAATCATGTATCAATGGGATTTTGCTCTCGCGGACACAGGTCCTTGGACAGTTGTTCTTTCCTCGGTCTATAAAGGGTGGATAATAGCTTCAAACAATGATCAACCAAATTTGCCTACATGGCATTCGACCACCGGAATTTGGCTGGCATGTCATATAGTGGTAGTAAGGGGTTGCTCCAATGGGTGACTGCGACTGCTTAGATTGCGTCTAACTTCGGGTGAGATGTAGCTGTTCAAATAGCAAAGTTTGTTCACTACTTTTGTTACTTCTGCACTTAGGGTGAGGTTAGAAGCTAGATCAATCCAGTTCTGTAACAACATGTTGCACTTTGAGGGTACAAAATGCATGCCGAACATGGTAACACTAGCACTTAGTCTATCCAGATCATCGTCTTCTACTGCTCATTGTTCTGAGGCCATTGTGAAAATATCGTCCTAAAGCGACCAGTAGTAATTGTATCATAAGACCTTTTTAAAATTGATAACCTATTGATTTTTCTATCATTTCCTTTTCTTTATATTCACCAATTTTTTTGCTTCAATAGCTGTTGATGCTGGCCGCATTGCGATAGCCGCCGGCGCTGCTCTCGGTTTAGGCGGCTTGTGTTACTACGGTCTGTCAATGTCACCAGCATCCACTCACGCGGATGCTATGTCTGTTTTTGATCGGGCTTCAATTTGGGAAGATTATGTACGTCAGCGAATTAAAGCCACATACGCTTACTTGGCCGGTGGCGCTGCCATTGCTGCTGGCACCGCAGCGGCATTATCCCGTTCACCTGCGTTTTGTCGTCTTATGGCTGGATCTGGATGGATGGCCCCAATTGGAATGTTGGTCGTCAGTATGGGTTGCGGAGTGGTCTGCCAAGTGAGAATTTTCCCTTTTATTCTGGTCAAAAAAGTCGTTCTGCCTTCATCAGCATCGATTGATCGGCAGAGCAAATGGTCTATTTTATTTCAATCATGATAAATTTGCTGATCTCTGTGAAGCTCAATTTGAACAAATTACGTACGACTGTGTAGGGTGGACAAACAGCACACCAGTTTAAGAGACCACGAAGTGAAATGATATCCATACACAGAGCAGACTCACTTTGCACAACCGCTTTTTATCTCGGTTTCGCTTGCTGTCCGTCGGCTGCCCATTTTGTCGACCGAGAAGATGAAATCAAAGACAGCTGAGGTCAATGCCAAGATAATAATAAAAATACTGGATGTAAATGGGTGCACGTGCGCCGTTGTTATATCACTCGATCTGCAATTATCGACCAGGTTCGCCAAAAATGTTGTATAACAATACTTATATTTGCTTCCTTTTCATTTATTGAGTATACAAACGTACAGTCAACTTGTAGGAAGGAGGCTGTAGCCGAACAAATAAATCAGAAAAATGGGTGGCAGTAGCAAGCTTCGTACTCAGGACTTCCAAGTCTCCGTTTTGATAATCTGCACTACTTGATCAGAGCCCTCACCATCGGGTCTCATCTAAATCCCCCCTTAAAACTTCATATCGAGTTTTATCTCGATCATTCTTGTTTTTGTACCACTCACTACGGTCCTTGATAAGCATCAGGGAAGTCTATTCGATGACATCACCTGTCTGTCCCAGCAGTTCGCGCACGCTACGATTCAGAGCTTGTGCGTGAGGTAAGTGCGCTTCAACATGATGATGTAGCTGAGCAGTGGGATCATATCAGCGTAGCAATGCATTCCGCAGCAAATGTTGCTAGCGGGTATGGGCCCCAAGCCCGTCGGAGGCATTGGATCTTATGAATCAGTAGCCCTGATGGGAAAAAACGATAACCCCCGACCTGCAGGGATAAAAACAGGTTTAGGTGGCAAATGCAACGCCAGCTCACGAAGAGCCTCAAGAAGGACCGTGCGAACTGGTGGACGGAAAAAATTAGTGAAATGGAAGCAGCAGTTGCTTCAGGGAGTAGTCAACGACTGATAAGCAGCAGTGAAACAGTCTACTGTAAAAGGGGAAAAGCTATCCACAATAGAGAACCATGACTTGATCGTTGGTTGGAATACTCTATTTCATTTATTTTCAAAACCTAACCGATTACAGAGAACTGGCAAGTGTGCCACAACATATAAGCAAAGCTCTAATGAATTCTCTTCTTTGAAAAGGAATACCTCAGAAGTACGGTAACTTACTGAGGTCACTGTAGTCACATACTTCTGGTCGACTGAGGCTTTCTAACGAACAAAATGTACCATTCGCCACCCACAGCGGCGTTCATCAAGGGTTCCCTATTTCACCATTCCTGTTCAATTTCGTCATAGACGAAATACTGGAGAACGCACAAAGTGGTCTCCGATATGTTGGTACCGAATGAGCAGCTGGAGAAGAACTGTACGATTCACAGTACGCTGACGACATTGTTTGCTGTTCGAATGTATGGGGGACTCGCAAAGCGCACTTGGTAAACTAAAAAGTGCTGTTGCCACATTCGGTATGTGCTTTGCACTTTCAAAGTGCAAAGTGATGCTACAAAACTGGGCGCCTTCTAATTCGGAATTGAAACTAAGTGCTCAGGAATTAGTTAAAGTGGATTGTTTTTTCTACTTAGGTAGTGTGACCAATGACGGTAGCGTAGCAAAGGAGATAACCACCCGCACTTCCAAAGCTCCAACAGCGTACTCACACCTTCGGCGCAGACGCGACGTTGCACTGAATTTCAAAGGTTGTGTTTATTGTGCTGCCGTTCTCAGTTCTGCTGTATAGCTGTGAGACCTTGAATCTACAAACAGAAGGTATCCATAGACTAGGTTTCGATTATCGGTGTTTATGTAATTTAGCACATGTTGGATAAAGCTTCAGTATGGTCGGGTTGGGCGTCTCGAGCTATGGCTGGTCACCCTGCGAAATTCTCCCATACGGTCAGGCATCTCAAATGGCCTCTGCTGAGGAAGTTCTTCTCACTGCCTTCTCGTTGCGGAAGTGTTTTGTCATCAAAGTTAGAGGACGAGAAGCCGAC